GCAGAAATGTACGGAAAAATCAATTAAAGACGTAATCAAACAGACGATGAACACTATTAACAGCAATTATTATATGATGCAATCAAACTTATAGCAAAATGTGGTAGTTTCTTCTCTTCTTCAAAAATCAAAAAGGAGTATTATTGATGTAATACTAAAATTAAGTATTATACTTAATATAATGCTTAATAATATTAAGTATTATACCAAATTTTAGGTGATTTCTATAGCATGATCTTAATGACAAATGTCGAGAGCGCATAATGTTAGGTGATCCATATGTAATGCGCGAGCACGAATCTCCACTCGCAAGCAGATTTCCTTCACTCACACAAAACTGGACATGTGCTTTTAAATATCCATTGTTCTTTTATGAATTGGCTGAAGAGCCATGTTTTGTCTGTGATGAGATGTCTGTTGTCTGAAGGAGGGAGAAAATTATTTTAATAGTAATTTACTTCTGTATGATTCCTTACAGATCATAATTGAGTGTCACTGAAAATGTATTTGGCATGGGCAAAGTTTCAGAAACTCCACTCACAAGAGGATTTCCTTCACTCACACAAAACTGGACATGCGCTTTTAAATATACATTGTTCTTTTATGAATTGTCTCTCTCGCTCAGATATACGTGTACGCTCAAACGTTGTCCTCGCATCTCTGAAGACCAGAGGATCTTTTTTTTTTGTAAATTGTAAATATGCATTTATTAAATTATTTTATTTAGTGCATTTGTATTTTGTTGTTTTTGTATAGCCTATAGTTATGCAATAAAAGCGTATCAACCAAGTTCCAGAAATAATCACTGAGGGTGCTTCTGAAATTAGTGAGGGTGCTCTTAATGCACATTTTCACATATTTTGTCCCGTCTATGGTTATCACTATAATCACTGCTACTTCGAGAGCAAATCCCGCATAAATATGCGGATGTCATTCCCGAAACTTTGCAACGTGTGTGTGGCCGAAAAACAAAGTTTACATTTTAAATGGATTATAAGCCTAGAAAACTCGCAAAGAGTGCTCTTTATACCAACTAAAAAGCTGTCACTCTTTGTTCATCGTGATCTCACAAAGTTCTGTTATGACCAATGAATCTCACACTGCACAATTAACAAATTAGTATTAGCAGCGTGCTGTATGTTATCATGAAAGGATTCGATTGTATAACTCCGCACGGAACAAAAACTGGTGTGTTGCAGCCTTTAGATATGAGAGAAACCCACCATATTCATGAGGATGATGAAATTGTTTTCACTTGAGTAAAGCCTTGAAGTCCTTTTAAGTGTTTTTCTTAATTTAATATATACAATTTCTCATAGGTTAACAAAATTTATTTGATTTAAATCAAAAATTTGAACTTAATCTATACATTGGGTTACATTGATAAATATTGCATTTGATAAGATAGCATTTGCAGGTTAGCACTTCTTAATAGTGTACCATAGTCCATAGAAAATGGACTATGGTATGGACCCCAGCCTGGCCCCCCATTTAAAATGCTATAGAACTGCCCCTGAACCGTGGTGTAGTTCGTTTATTGCAGGTGAAAGATTATGTGTATCTTTAGTCAGATGCATTTACATTGGGACTGTGCCTCAGATGCAATCAACAGGAAATGTCTGTAAATGTGTGAACCAAATGGTCCATAAAGTTAGTATAACAAAGTAACAGCATTCCTCAGGAACTTCTTGTAGATTGCAGGATCTCTACACGTGAAAGTTCAGAAGATTTAGCAAAAACAATATTGAAAACAAGTAGTTTCCACATTTTTCCGCCTATGTGCATAGAGAGAACAAGAAAACGGTTGGGATAAAAGCACATCATACTGTATTGTATTGTTGTGTATAAAAACTTTTAAGCTAAAAAATAAAAATAATAATAACACTTAATAAGGGTAGGGCTAACACTTTATAATAACTTTGATTAATAAATCATAAACAAACATATAATGCTTAACAGATCATCAATAAATATATATTCAAATAGCTAAAACATGAGATAATGTGCTTGTGTTTACTAATAAACTAAACTGTCACGAATCCAGTTCGTGGTTTTCCGTCTGCTTGTCCTGTCTGATCTCTGCCTGCCCTGGAATTATCGCCTGTCTGTTGGATTACCCGTTTGCCTTGCCCCCGGATCACATTTGCTGCCGATCGACCCCCATCTGTTTACTGGACTACTCGTGTGTCTTGCCCGTACCATACCTGTTTGCTGGTGTTCGACCCTGCCTGTGTTTTGACCATGTCTGTGAATAAAAGCTTGCATATGGATCCGCACGCCTCTCATCTCGCGAACGCCCTGTTACATAAACATTACCTAATGATTAACAGATAATTATTTAATGTAAATTAAAATGCTTACAAATGTCATTAAACTTTTAATTCATATAATCATGCACATCTTGGAAATCTTCAAATTATTTTAACAGATTTTAACAGATGTTATACAATTATTAAAAGCTTTTGTTAATGTACAACAGTTTTGCTGCTATTGGGGTGTGATATGGGTAAGATTTGGGACACGTTTGGTGGTATGGGTAGGTTTAAGGGTTGGTTAAGGGGTCAACAGTGTACAGGAGTCAATCTGATTATATTACATTGTTTTGATGAATGATAGGCTAATTGAAGTATTTTCTTGAAAAAATTATTTATTTTCCCTTGTTGATGTATAATTCAAGGAAAATTATTTTTAATGATACACAATAGTATACTAATATAAGTGTTGAGGCAATAAAAACATGTTTTGCACCCAAATTACAATGTGTATTACTGTATGTCTTTAGCAAGCTTAAACAAAGCAAGCTTAAAGCTAAACTTCACTGTCCACCCGTTGTTACAGCAGCTAAAAGTTCAATGCCCATAAAGATACTAAAAGATTAGTAAATGTTTATAAACTTTAACAAATGATGAATAATCTCAACTTTAGACTGGGTATTGCAAAAACATTAACAACCGATTAAAAAATTATTTGTAAAGATGTGTAATAGGGTGAATTCGGGTGATTTGGGACACATTTTGCCATTGAGACGACTGCTCATTAAGGTAGTAATGATTAGTAAACATTTATAAACATTATGAATTATGAATTATGAATAGTTTACGCTTTAGATTGGGTACTGCAAAAACATGAACAAATTATTAATAAATGGTTTGTTGAAATGTGAAAATAGTAGAAGTCTACACAACAAATGAAGACCAAATGTACAATGGAGATCAAAATTAAAGAACAACCTACAATTTTCAAGGTCACTGCTTAGTCCAAATTTAAGTTATCCTAACAGGAGTAAAATGGCAGTTTTTTAAGCACATTTCACATTTCCAGTTCAGTGCTGAACATGGTGTGGATCTGTATCGGCACGTTTAAGAGAAGTCGGACAGAAAGTGCACTCTGCAATGACCAAGCCTCTCATCAGCAGAAAGAAACAAAAGAATAGGCTCACCTTTGCTGAGGAGCATGTTGTGTGGAGAGAGGAGAACTGGTCCAAAGTTCACTTTAGTGATGAGAGCAAGTTTAATTTATTTGGGTCAGATGGGAAACATTATGTTCTGCGTCAAACTGGGGAAAGACTGAACCCCGAGTGTGTAAAGAAGTCAGTGAAAGGTGGAGAAGGAAGTCATGGTTTGGGAGATGTTTTGTGCAGCAGGAGTTAGGCCTCTTATACAGATACATGGCAGGGTGAATGCAAATGTTTATTAGAACCTCCTTCAGAAACCTGCCTTCCCTGCAAGCATCTCCCAATAAGCCTGAAATTTTCATGCAAAATAATATCCCCGTCACACTGCAAAATGGATAAAGCAGTTCCTTGAAGCTAAGAACATTGAAATGAAATAATGAAATGGCCAGACCAGAGATCTAAACCCAAATGAAAATCTCTGCAAAATCCTTGGCGACAAAGTTATGGCCAAGAAACCCACTACAGTTACCAAACTATGGAAGAGACTGGAAGAAGAGTGGACCAAGATCGCAATGTGAGAAACTAGTGATATCCTGCAGCCACAGATGTGCTAAAGTCATTCAAAGGAAGGGCCTCTACACTTCCTATTAATTTTTGACAGCTGTAACCCTCCAAAATTTTAGTTGTAATCTTCTTTTGTGATACAGTGGTTACTGTTCTTTAATTTTGATCACTGTTTTCCACAAAATAAAAAAATGTTTTGTTGTTGTTGAAATTCTCTGGTTATTTTGTAAAACATGTTAGTAGAACAGAATATTCCTTCAAATTTTGAGCAATGAAGATTAACAATATTTCAGAAAAAAATCTTTTATAGACTGTTCTCTTATTTTGATCTCCACTGTGTGACCTTTAAAGACTGTGATTATGAGTAAATGAATAATATGTTAACATGAATAGTTTGTAAAGTGATTAAAATTACTAATTAAGCTATTTTTTTTTTCAACATTTGTAAATGTAAAAAAGCATTAGGTAAAATTTGAACTTAAATTTAATGACATTTGTTAGCACTCAAAAGTACATTAATAAATAAACTTGTAATACCTGTATAATTTTTGTTACAGTTATTTGTAGATTTTTAAAAACGGCATGATCATATGAATTGAACGTTTAATGACTTGTAAGTTTAATCATTTGTAAGCATTAACTAATGATCCGTTAAGCATTATATAATGTTTGTTAATGATTTATTAGTGAAGTTTTTAATAATTGTAAATCATCTGTTAAAATCATTTTCATTTTTAAAAAGTGATATGAATTGAAAGTTTAATAACATCTGTTAACATTTAAATTTGCATTAAATAATGATCTGTTAATCATTAGATAATGTTTAATAAGTACATTATTAAGCATTAACAAGCATATTATCTCATATTTCTAGCCAAAAAGGTAACACTTTATTTATTTTCCTCATTTAGTAGAGACCAGGGGGTGCTGTACACTATAAGCAGAAATATGGTTTGGGTTTGTCATAACATTTGTGAACAAGAGGAAAACATTTGTGACCAAGAGAAAAAAAATAAATATATTAGGAACCTCTCCAAAACCTCCAATCCAATCAGCTGTCAGACTTTTTGTAACTATTCCTTCTCTTTTTTCTCAGGTTATATCCAAGCATGCCGTGCATTAATGATCACATCTATTGTGCTGGGCACATTCGGATTGGTGGCAACTCTAGTGGGTATGCAGTGTTCCAAAATAGGAGGGGAAAATTACGTAATGAAGGGTCGGATCGCTGGGGCTGGAGGTGTCTTCTTCATACTTCAAGGTAAGAACATCACCAAATGACATCATTTACTGTCTTAGCACCTGTCATATAGGGGAGGTTGGGGTTAGTTGTGATACTTTTTTTTCTCAGGTCGAGGTACACTGCACAGAGCACACAGAACCATCAATGAGAATATGGTAACAAAAAAAACAGCAAACCACAGTTGTGGTCAACAGAATTTTTTGTTTAAGCAATTGTGTAAAATTTCTCTATGAAACATGTGACAACTTTCCCAACCTAACATTTATGAGAAGTTCCCTTTTCCTCTCAGTTAAAATCTACCATCATTATCTAATTGAGTCTTGTAGCTGTTTGGTAAACAAAATAAAAATGCCAAACCGACATACTTTCATACATCAAATATGTTTGTGTGTTTTTTTTTATTTATTTAAGCACTACTAGAGAACTGCCTTTACTTAGGTAATGTCAGGGTTCTTTTACAAAAAGAGCTGGTTAACACTTGGATTAAATTTGTTGAAATTGTTTTATACAATATACTATATTTTATATAGCATTTGTTACTAGGTAAATGGTAATCTATAAATACACTATCTAGGGTAATGATAATTTATAAATATACTATTCATTGTTAATTATTGTTTGTTCATATTACATTAATGTATACAAACTGCAATGTTAAAAACATATTAGTATATGTAGAGGGCAAGATTAGTAAATACTGCATAAGTATCGTTATGATACCCAATTAAATATTGTTAATGTTAATTAACTGAAACTTGTAAAGTTTTACCAAGAACTATAAAGATTATGTCTTCCAAAAGGCCTATGATAGACTGTCTTGGTAAGGAGAAGCATATGTGATTAAACCTTTTGCAGTTTGTCCCTAAATTAATGTTCATGTTTCAGGTCTGTGCACGATGATTGCAGCGTCTTGGTATGCTTTCAATATCACTCAGGAATTCTTTGACCCACTTTATCCAGGAATAAAGTAAGTGGATTATAGAGTCTTTATCTTAGTATGTAGAACTATTAGAGAAAATATTAAGACCTAAAGAATCAGTTTCTTTTTCTCAGTTCATATTTGTGAGAGTTTTCTAATTACGCAATATCGAATGAGTAGGAGCGCTGTTTCAGACAAAATTGGCCAGTCATAAAAGATCAGCATTCTTGGAATGCCACTGCGGTGTAACGTTTGATGTGTCCTATGTCTTTAGGTATGAAATCGGAGATGGGCTGTACATTGGTTGGAGCTCGGCCACAATGGCTTTATGTGGTGGCAGCTGCTTGCTGTGTTCCTGTGGAATTCGCAGCCCAGAGGAAAAAAAGTGAGTTTAGTATGCAACACATGCCCTGTTAAAATGACTTTATTTACTAACCATTTCAGAAACTCTATATTAGTAAACTGCCCAAGACATTGTCGACACTGTAAGACAGTGCGGCAGCAGGTGACATCAGTTGTTTGTTTTTACAAATGTCTGTGTTTACAATATATATATATATTTTTTTTTTCGTTTTGTTTAGATCACATCTTCAGAACTTCAGATCATACTCCTACCAGCCTCAATCCAGACATATGGTTCAGACTGTCTCTGCAACATCCAATGGCCCTTCCAGCCAATATGGACTCAATGTATATGTGTAAGAAACTTACTGAATACCTGGGATCAACAAAGTTACAGACATCACAAAACAGAGAACACACCATGCAAGACCCTTTTTATGCATTATGGTCAGAATCTGCTATAAAGCAGAAATGTCACATTTCTAATGTAAATATTCTCTGAGGTTTACTGGAGAATGGAGCCATGTAAATAGGTTATTGTAATTATTTCTGAGATAAAAAAGTAATCGCATGCATTAAATTGTTGTTGTGTACAAGAATTTGCAAGAAAAGAGCATGGGGTTTTTGTTGAGACAATTTTTTTTTTTTCGGCGTGGGCCAGGCCCAGGCAGGCGACGCAGTAGTCGTGCTGATCCGGCGGCTCTATCGGTCCCGCGCAGATCTTGCAGATTGTTGCCATAGTGAATTCAACAGGTGAAGTAGAAGATTCTGACGTAATTGTCGCGTGCACCGCATTTTATACTGCCGCTCGAGCTCGTCAGTATTTGCATGCGATTTGCATACTTCGCGTCAATTGGCCAGTCATTTGGACTGGCGGGAGCCAATAGGACTTCAGGAGAGGTTGGAAGGGAAGGAGTTCCCATAACGGAGAGATATCTCCGTGATGTCTCGTGAAAGCTCGAGAGGGAACAAATGTTTTTCCGATGCATCTATTTCAGTAATTTACTTTCTAAATGCTCTACGAATGCATAATTTATGCCGTCTGGAATGCAGTAAATTTTGGGCACATGACGCTTACTTACAGACCGCTGCTTTAAAATGCTCGCGTGCGCTTTTGTGTGCTCATTCTGAAGCGCAATTGCGGTATGAGGCACTTGCACCTCAAAATGCTTTTATTATGTGAAAGTACAGTCAATTATGTCTTCTTGATAGGACAAAACATCTGATATGTTAAAACAGAGCTGTGCATTATAATGTGTGAATGCAGCCTATTAGACCTGCCTCTGTCTGATGTCGTCAGTCAGCAAACAGCAAACATTTTTTATAAAACTAATATAACTAATTCAATAAAAATGCACATATAAATTTGATATTCATGGTCAGTAAACTCATTAAATAATAAGAAAAAAAATGTGGATCAAAACCATTTTGGAATTGGATCGGATCGTGAGGTGCCTGAAGATTCCCACCCCTACTAAAATGTATTATATATCTTTTCATTTTATGTTAACTTGACCATTATGTTGGACCAGGATGTTATTTAGATCAGCCCTTCTTTAGATTAGTTAATATCTTCATGTTGTGATAAATGATTATGATGAATTCTATAGAAAACTAAACATTTTCCTAGAATTTGTTTTATTCTTTTTATAAGAAGCATATAATGTATTAGCACCCTAAATCACTCGTTATTTCAGCACGGCTGAAATATGCTGTTCTGTTTACATATGCAATAATAATACCAATAATGAACTAATAAATTTAATGCAATAAAGTCTGTGGTCTGTGATGAACTCTGGGAATAACCTCTGCTGGTGATATGAGGTTACGAGGGAAAATTAGTGGTGCAATGACAAGACAAATATGAGAAAGATTATGAAAGATGTCTCTTATTGAAAAATTTAAGTGTCAGTATTTACACACAATGTGCACCACTCACATGCAAGCAAACACACAAACAAAAAGGTACAGTTTACATCATGTTGTTATTATTCTTGTTTCAACATAGAGGACCAAACCACTGTGTATGGAATTGGAGTTCCCTGAAAAATAAGGAAAAATCCATTTGGGGTGAATAAATCCAGCTAGAGTGGATCTTCACTGCCATCTCTATACTTGCAGACAAAATGTGTGTGTGTGGAAACTACATTCTCTGTAGTCCATATGGTGACCCCAAAAGCCTCTAAAGTTGTCAGAGTCCATGGGTGGTCATCTGAAGGCTTTCAGATTCCACTTCTATAGAAACCACATGATGGCCAGGGATCATCGCCAGTCCCAACACTCTGGGCTCACCTTGTGAGAAAGAATCTGTGCAAATTTTGATAAAAAGACAAATCAAGAGCTGTAGACTCCCAACTCAGTTCCAATTTTTGATGTTACTGTTGTTATACAAGTAAAGCTACACTTTACTTATTACTTCACACAAAAATTAAACTTTGCTGTAAATTCACTCACTCGCAGGCCCTTTGGGAGTCAAAAAAGCAGATACAGGCAACACAAAATTAATATAGTGTGTTTAAGTAATACTGCGTGATACATCCTCTTTTTCTCTGACATTTTATGGCCATGATTTCTAAATTTCCTAAAATATCCAGGTTTTGGCTTAGTTTTCCTGTTGATGTGCTCTCTACAGTCCTCAAACATTGAACACATATCTGCATTGCTTTGACCGTTCTCTGCAGATCCCATCTTCTTGCCGCCATGATTGGAGGATTATGTACAATGCCTGCACCTTATTGGTCAAAATACTTTCAGTCACTACCTTTAGCAAATTTGAAAACAACAAGAAAACAAAGCAAAAAAAAAAAAAAAAGTTTTGCCAATTTAGAAATCCCGACCGGCACATATCTGGGAACAAGAGGGCGTATGGTAACCCTATCCTGATGATATATTGAGGTCTTAAAAAGTGAAACGACTTGTCTGTGCAAGAAACTGAACTCTGCTGAAGAAAGTCAGTCACCTACATCTTGGATGGCCTGAGGGTAAGCAAATTTTCATTTGTGGGTGAACTACTCCTTTAAATATGAAATATCATTAGTAACTGCACTTTTTCGTGAAATACTATAGTATTTCACAAATACAGCATCACCCCACTACCAAATTAGGTGGTGATCTGTTGAAGTCTGAAGCCTTGCCTCTCCTCAACAGACTGAATCATTTTAGAAGTTTCAAAGTATCCATAGCAGAAATAGTTTGTGGTAAGTCTTTGATAATTATTAGATTATAGTTCGAATTCCTGACAATATACAGCAAAAGTAGCCTTGCATAAACAATCACTACTAATTACAGTACAATAACTTGACACTAAAGCAGGGGTGTCAAACACAATTCCTGGAGGGAATTAATTAAACCCACCTGATCCAACTAATCGAGTCCTTCAGGCTTATTTGAAAACTACATGGTATGTGAGTTGGAGCAGGGTTGGAACAGAACTCTGCAGGGCTCCGGCCCTCCAGGAATTGAGTTTGACACCCCTGCACTAAAGAGTAATATTGAGTACCTAAGTGCTGATAAAGCATAAGGTCTGTGTCCAGGGTGCTCTGGGTACCTGTGGATTTGAGGAACTCTTGTGCAGATCCCAGGATGACGTTGCAGTCTCTGTCTGTGCACAGGAAGAGTCCCACCAGCGTGCGCCCGTCTGTCATCCGGATCCTCATGCTCTTATTGAGGAGGTTCTCCAGCTTACACCGAGCGAGCGAATAAGCAGACGCCTCCACCTGAGACACAACATATAATTTACATCGACCAGAGATAAAACATATTAAATTAATTGGATCAGCATATTTAACCACGTCACTGTTTTCCTTTCAAATGTAATAATCGTATATCATAAAGGTTTGATAACATCAGAAGTATTCGATTAAAAAGTTGATACTCATGAAGCACCGACATAAATTCATCACAGTGCTTACTAGCATTAGCTCGAGCGTTAATATTTCACTGGCCCCTTATGTGACAAAGTATTCAGACCTCAGTTTGCATTTCCGTGCCGTTCTCTTCGCTTTCTGTTGCCATTTGAGCCTTCTTGGTGTTTAAGTCTTTGTATAAATGCGAATCAAATGGAAAAGAGATGGCGAGAGTTACTCAAAGAAGCAGTCTTATTCTTTTTTTTTATTGGCGGCTCGCATTCTTAAAAAGAGCATTACTGCCATCTACTGTGGGTTATGGATCTTCTCGCTTCTTCTTCTTCTTCTGGCTTTTTATGGCGGTTGGCAAACAAACAAAAAGGTGCATTCCCGCCACCTACTGAGCTGGAGTGTGATTCATTGATGGAACAGGAAGAAAGACTAAGCTGAGAGAGAGAAAAAAAAAAACATTAAGGAAAGGACCACTAATAATAAATTGGCTTCTAAATCCTCTTAAACAGATGCACCTTTCTTAAATATTTCATTAATGCTTTATATACTCTATAACTTTCCAATCCATTATTCAGCAGTTTTTTAAAGTGTAATATTTCCTATACCCATTTCTTTTAACTCTTCCACCAGAATTATCCTTTCATTTTGATAAGCAGTGCAATATATTAATATATGCTCTACAGTTTTTGCTAATCCACATAGACTGCAATTCCCAGACTCATGTTTGTTCATTCTATACAGGGAATAATTAAGAGCTGTATGCCCAAGGTGAAGTCTGGTAATGATTGTGTCTTCTCTTCTACTGCAACGACTTCCTCTTTCACCACCAATTTTATTTTGAATCTGATAAATATGTCTTCCTCTTTCCTCCTCATTCCATTGTATGCCATTTGCCTTTTATAGCTGTTCTGATTATAGCCTTAACTTCTTCTTTACAAAGTGGAATATTCAGTTCTATAGAAGATCATTTCTGGATCTTCTCTCACCAGATCTATTAGGACTTATGCTGGTTGTTCAGCTCTTCCATCTTATATATAATACTGTATATAGCTTCTTTAATTTAAATGCATTCCCTGAAACTCCAGTATGCACAAGAACCCATACAAACCCTTATTTACATTATATGTAATATCTGAAATATTTCCATCAAAATATCTTAGTTTCAATCTGTTGAGCATCCAGACTTAATAGTAATATTATTAGTAATTCAAATTAATAGTAATTCTCCTGTAAACACTGAAACTTGATCTGATTTCCTTTTTCCCTCTCCTTGGGATGATGTATGCAAACCCACACTTGACCTTTCCCTGCATCTTTAGACACATCTGTAAAAACCTGATTATAATGTTCATACTTAGTCCATAAATACTCCCTTGTTAACTCTGCCTCTAATGCATTTTGACCCTTATCTTGTCATGCTTCCAATAGGAATAAATCAACATTTGGTTGTTAAAATCCATAGAGGTATTGGTGGTAATATTAAACTGGCATAATATTGCACTCGTTTAATTTCATATCCTGCACCAAATCCTCAATGATCCACCCAAAACTATTAATTGTTTCTATATTCCCAACATGTTTCTAATAACTTTTTTGTTGGGGGATTTTTCTTCTGACCTTTTAATAGCATCTCCCCCAGTAATGCTGGAACTGGAGAAGGAGGATAGGCACCACAACAAATCCTTCATTCTTTTGACTTTTTGATCTTATTAATATGTGTACTCCATGTAGCTTTCCTGTCAAACCACATACCCAGAAATCTTATCATTTTAACTTGTTCTAATTCCTTATTATATAATTGTAGATTTAAATCTCTATTTATAGATAATTTAATCTGCTGTAAATATGATGTATAAATGAAGTAACAGTGCCCCAGGTGAAATGGACGCACCGTATGCACCGCTGTTTCGAAGCCCTCGAAAAACCCCACAAAGGACATCTTCTGGTTAAAGTAGTGTGAATGCAACAAGACAGCAGCAAAAATATGCTTCATAAAGCAGTGTTTCAAATGCGATTATCACAGGCATTCATCCTGTTCACTTATAAAATAAGGTTTTCAGGTCTGGGCTTTGTGCAGGCCAGTCAAGTTCTTACAATCTTACACATTGTTTTATAAATGTTGCTCTGTGCACAGTGAATCAGAAGGTTCAGTTTAATTACAAAATGTCTAGGGACAATTGCAATTTCAAGTTGAGGACAGAAGCTTGAAATATTCCAACAACTAATTACAACAAAAACAGCATTTGCAAGATGTATTTTAAAGATGTCAAATTTACTTTGCATTGAACATTGGCACAAAATTGAACATTAATTGAAACATTCATTAGAATATCATTATCAACATTTTTATTGTTCTTGTTTCAATATTTTTTAAACCTTTTCTAAGATTGAAGATATAGTATTAAAAGTTAACATACAAAGCAAAACTATTCACTAAGTATTCCTGAACTAAACTAGTCACGTCTTAATGTTCTTTAAGGTGCTTCCAGTCCTAGATTATCCAGAGCTATTCCATGAAAGCGGAGAAAATGCCATCCCTCTTTAGCTGTGAGGTCTTCTGCACCTTTAGACAAATAAAAGTCTAGAGAGGGCTTGTTCCAGTCTAGTACAGAGAACTGTAAACGCACACAATGCTGCTCTTTGGCCACCTATAAAGTAACAAAAACTACATTTACCTTTTTACATTAAAACCATACTGATAATTCCTTGTTTAACCACAAAATACCATTAAATACATTTAAATATAATAATGCACAGATTTATGCAGATAATATAAAACTACAGATTAAAAACAAAATAATAATAAAAACTTACTTTGGCAACAGTTGCCATTAATGCCTTTCCAATGCCTTTACCTGTAGTGTAAGCAGAGATGACCAATGAGTTCTGCATTTTGGATAAAACTAATTGATGAAGTATACACACCTCTGTACTCTGGCATCACATACAGATCTTCCATATACACAGTCCTCCCTTTCCAAGTGCTGTACGTATAGAAGAAGAGAGCATAGCCAACCTTGGTATGTCCTGTGGGATGACAGTTTCTCTAAGAATACTTGTGAAGACATAAATATAAAGTCTTAAACCCTCATAACACTCCATTTACTGTGGCTGTTAATTACTAAGGAGTTAAAATGCAGTAAAACTGTAAGTTCATGCATCCATCTCATGGAGGTGTGACTTTTGAGCTGTCATAGCAACTGAGATTAATTACTGCTGGGGGGCGCTTTCGTTCACAGTTCCTTGCTGGTGGAATGATCTTCTTCCCAACCCTATCCGGAATGCCAAATCCCTGACAATATAATATTCAACACCTGAAAACTACGGTGGCTGAGAAGTGCTAAACAAATCACAATTCTGAAAACAAAATAACAAATTACAAACGCAAATGCAAGTCTAAAAAACAAAATAAGATGGAATAAAAAATGCGGAGTGTATATTTACATTTAGTTAAAAGCGGCTGAAAACATCAGTTCCAGTGGCGCAGATGGATAAGCGCATGTCGTTGGCTTTTTGACGCGATCGACCCGGGTTCGATCCCGCTTCAAAAAGCCAACGACACGCGCTTATCCATCTGCGCCAATGGAGCTGATGATTTATGGCCACTTTTAACTAAATGTAAATAGACACCCCGTATTTTTTATTCCATAGTAAGGGCAATTCATACAATACATTTAAACTGAGCTACTTTAATACCATCTCCGAACTTTCTAACACGACTCTGCTGTTCTTCGGCTGGTTCTTCCCTGTATAAGTTGATTGACAGATGTCTCGTCCAGTCAGCAGTGAGTAATCCGAAACCAATGGCGCTGTCTCAAAATATACCTACCTCTTCCGGTTTGTCTGATTTGTCGTTGTGTTTTCTGACTTGTTAATTTGTTTTCGGATTTGTCGTTGTGTTTTCTGACTTGTTATTTTGTTTTCGAATTTGTCAGTGTTTTCTGACTTGTTATAATGTTTTCTGAATTGTTGTTGTGTTTTCTGAATTGTTATTTTGTTTTTTAGACTTGCATTTGCGTTTGTAATTTGTTATTTTGTTTTCAGAATTGTGATTTGTTTTGCACTTCTCGGCCACCGTAGAAAACTCACCCTGCTGAAAAAAACTTCTTTCTCTATGCTTTCATTATTCCTTAATCCAACCCTGTTCTGGCTTACACTATTCCTAACGATGTCTGAAGCTTGGTATTACTAACACTTTTTATGATGAATTGATGGTTGTATTCCTCATTTGTAAGTCACTTTGGATAAAAGCGTCTGCTAAATGAATAAACGTAAATGTAAATGTAATCAGCAAAGATCTTTCTTGGTGCAACTAATTCTGACAAAAATCCTAAAATATCTGGTGAAAAGTAAATAAACTACATTTAATATAATAGGTTATTTCAGGTAGGGTGGCCATATGTGCCATTTATATGGGACACGTCCTGGCCAAGATTATTATATTGCCTAAAACATCCAAAGTAGTTTGACCAATAACATGCAGGTATTGTACATAATCGACCAATCGTGGCGTTGCGTGTGAGGAGGTGAGAACAAACAAATTAGCGATGCAAATATGCGCACGTGTTGGTTTGTTCGTTCGTTCAACATGAAGCTGCGCACCGATCATTGTATGACACCAAAGAACCGCAAGAGCGATTTAAAAGCATAAGGAGCCGTCTGCTCTCTATAGCTCGTGAAATAATGCCATACAACCATAGGCGGAGCGTGTGTAAGGCTGGGGAAGGCTTAGCCTTAGACTTGGGGCAAAAATGCCCCTGCACAAACAAATGAAACCTGTTACGTCTGTTGCTAACAAAGTGAATATGAATAGACAGTGTCGATTGCGGCATCAAATTAAGATCTGCTCATGTTGCACCGTATTTAATTTTAGGCGTTTTTACAGTGTTGCGCATTTTAACCAATCACACACAATTCTGTTGAGCTTAGGAATGCAATGGCCAATCAGAGGCGTTCAGATGAGTCATCGTTGAAACTCTTCCGTTTTGTTGAGTGCGTGCGCGTTCGCTGACTGAATTCCGGACTCTTGCGAATTCGCTCATCATAAACAACAAAGCGCAGATGTATGTACAATGTAAGTAAGATATTCATTTCACAGTGTATACAGCTTCAGTGATTAGGATAGTTTTGTTTTGTTTTTAGAGTGCCTAAACTCGCAATAGATCAATGTTAGTTATGTCACTTTCTATATAATTTATTCGCTGTTTGAATAACCGTGGAAAGGAAACGTTATATAATTATCAATTTCTAACGTTTTTATTAAATTGTAATCACGTTAAATACAAATTCAGTCCCATTAAACATTTTTTTTTTAGCCTACATGACACCCATG